TTTGGATGGTGTCCATTGAGTTCTTTGAAGTTTTACTGCAAATGTTTTGTAGAACAAGATTATAATCAAAAACAGCTCTGGTATATCCCAAACAGAGGCCTCTCAAGGTGTTCTTGTCTGATCCCCAGTTGGTACTGGCAAGTCATTTGATGAGATTAAGTCTCTTCATAGCCTTCTTCCTAAGGTTGTTGGTGTGTTGTTTCAGGTTGAGCTTGCTGTCAACTTGTACTTTAAAAGGCCGCTGATTGGTGGCATGCAATTGGCTACGTGAATAATAGTTCACGATGCAGGTGCAATGGATGGTTTCCGGGAATAGATAAAGTTCGTTCTGGGAGAAAAATTAACGAAACCAAGTCTGCGGGGGCTGTTCACCCTGGAAGCGGCCTCGTTAAATCCGAACTCCCTGATTTAAGTGCTCGTTGAATCCGGGTTACTTTTATTGAATTTAAAGAAGAAAAAAAAACGGGGAATCTGTCTCATCTCGTTGAATCCGAGTTCTCGTTGAATCCGAGCTCGTTAAATCGGAGTTCCACTGTATAAGATCAAAATAAGAAGCATCATGCTTTTGGTGTTACCAAAGAGTAAAAAAGTGTCCTGAAGGAAAAAGGCTGAAGCTTTATACAAGTCAGCACTGAATAATATAAAATGTGAAAACCAGCAGAAAAGATTTCATAAAAAATTAATGACTCAAAGCATGTGTATATATTCTATGGCTTGCGTCAGCTTTGAGCTCAGTTTATTCTGAAAAAAAACTGCTCACACAGGTTTTTTAAATTAGAATTAAAAAACCCAAAAAATTTACCAAGTCTCCTTATGTGCTCCCTTTCTAGATAGGTTAGCATGGCAACAAAACAACTTTATGAATATAAACTTGAAAAGACAAGTAAGACATACCTTCGCCATTCCTTAATCACTGAATTTTAATGGACACAAGTAGGGCAGAAGTCGAGTGGTACACACAACAGTAGTTTGGGAGAAATTTGGCAATTTGTAGAGTGCAAGAAAAAGTGTAAAGCATTTTAACTTTGGTAAAGGAACTTTCCTTAAAGAAAATCAAAACTTGTTTAACCATGTGTTCACACACCAAAATGTCATTTTATGAAAGGCAATGTGTATTCATGTTTTGATATATATACATGGATAAACATACTACCAGACCATTTGAGGATAAAATAAAATATAACTAGCATAAAAACAGACTTGACAGGTCAACTGATTAGTATATAGCTGGAGAAATGAATACCATACAATTCTTTTTGAAGAAAACAATTTTACATACATGTATAAATGATAAAGAAGTAGGTCTCTCTCATTGACAAAACTGACTTCTCAGCTTGTATAAATTGAATGGCACAGCAGACAGTCTCCCTGGAATGAAAACAAAATTATTATGACCTTTCTAATGTAGGTCGTACACCTCAATACTTTGACAATCTTCTTTGAATTTTTTGGCCCTGAGCAAATTTTACATCTTTTACTATTATGTAAGCTTGGCTAAGTGTACCCTGCAGCTATGACAGATGATGCTTACGTTACTACTAAATGTCAACATATTAGACAGGGAAATCACATAACCTGAAATGATTTTAGCTCATGTGCAATGAGAAGAACCAGACCTGTACCAAACAGAGACCTTAAACAAAATTTTCAGCTACCCGACAATCAGTTAGATTCCAGTAAAGTTGTCAGACAATTCACCAGTTGCTCGTCATAACACGTCTCTTTTTTTAGTCACCCATGCCCTTAATCAACAGCTACATGGCATGCTGTGAAGATTGGGATGAATTTCAACAGCTTCACTGTTACAACAACATTGAATACGATACTCTGAAGTACAGTATTCACAGTATTAGTAGTCGCTCCAGACAGATGGGAGCAAGTGGAAAGTCTCAAATCCAAGATCGACAGAACACAAACATCCATACACAAACTCACATGGTATCCCAAATATCATTCAAATTTTTTGTTTGTTTTTTGTTTTAGAAGAGGTGTTACGGCGTTCGCAACTGCATAAGGTCATACGAGCGCCAGAAGCATAAGAGGTGTTACAAGAGAGTAACAAACTAGGTACAAAAAAAACCAAACTCTGAACATGCAAAAGAAAATTAACTGGAACATCAGGCATATGACTAAATGACGATCAAAAGTTACTGCATATATCTGAGACACAGATATATCATACCAGCATTTTTGCGTGTAGCTCAGAGTAAATATTAAAAAAGAAAAGAAACAAATGTTTTCTGGAAACATCTTTGCACCAATCAGTGCAAGTCCTTGGCAATCACCTCATCACATGTCTGTACTGTGTAGTATGCATACATTTGTTTTTTGGTTTTTTTAAACAGCTCCTTATGTTAGTGAGACAAAGGGGGCTCTTCTTCAAATAAAGACATTCTCTAACCATGGAGAGAAACATAAAAAACCACAACGATTACTACAAAGAAGCAACCAATGCATAAAATCCTCAAAATGACAAAACAAAACCAGTCATGGTGTTGCTACAGCACAGTAAACACACCAATACTGATTTGATTACAGGAATCATGTAAAGTCAGAGTTATTTATACAAAAATATACATTTGATTAAACTTCAATAACATCTTTAATATCAAAATTGCATTGACAAGGAAGACATTTGAAAGAAAAGTATATTAAAACCAAAAATACTCCTGTTATGGAAAAACCATCTTATGCAATACAATATCAAATGAATAGCACAACTTATCGATATGCGTCATGATGTGGTGGAATCAGGCGTCCGTCAATTTTTGGGCATGCAGAGTTATTGGTGATATCTAAAAGCTTATTCACTTGCATTGCTTTCAATGAAAAAAAAAATCCATCTACATTGAATAGAAGTCGAGATATTTACGATTGAAAGAGGAGGGGTCCCCTGGTTTCAGCAATACTTTACTTTTCCGATCCAGAGGTTTCAGCAATAAAATTAACGAGAAAATGGCTGCCAAATTTCGATAACCTCAATAGCTTGTGAGTCCTTCAAAACTGAAAAATCACATATTTTGTGCCTTTAATCAATGTTTTCAGTCAAACTCACATAGAAATGTGCTTTGGTACGGACATAAACGTGTTGAGCCAAATATTTTATAACAAAAATTTGATTTTAAAAATTGCTAAACTGGCAGAAAAATGCCTTTCTTCGATTTTATTATTTTAAATGAGCACCTGATTTCACCACGATGCCTCACATATTCTTTTCATGCTGTTCTTGTCGAGATTTAGATGTTTCATTAAAATAAGAAAGTTCAATTTATAAAAAAATATTCTTCAAAGTCTTTCACCACTCCAAGAAGAAACAGACATTTAAATCTCAGTTCATTTAAATGTCCAAAGCGTTTGTAAAACTCAAGGGAAAAATCAGGGTTAAATTTTCATATGCCATTATAAACTTCAAAAATGAATCAAGCAGAACAAAATTTTGTATCAAACAGGAGAAAAAATTTTTTTTAAAAATCCCACTTTGATTAAAGGATACGAAAACCCATTAAAGAAAGCTCCAAGTTAAAAAATAAACAGTAATACAACAACTTAAAAGCAAAAGCAGAAAAACACATTCAGGTAGGCCTACTAAACAAACTTTCTATCTCTTGCTCAAAGGGGCACAAAAAGCACAAAAAGAGAATATTCACAAACAGAGACACAAAATCACAGTCTAAAGGAATGAAAACTAGTCTTTACCTCAAGTCTTTACGTCGAAAACAACAATAAAAACACTTCTACCAGTCAACCAAATATGCCTCACCTTGCTGACCAAAAGCACCTCATCAAGTCAACCTCAACTTAAAATTATAGTCAGAAAACGTGTAAAGTATCAAAGGCAAATCATTATCCATTCACATCCGAAGTTCATGACTCACATTTTAAATTAATGTTCAACAAAATTGTAAAACAAGTCTAAACAATACTTTTTCCATGCACTAAATAAAGATTCCCGAAAAGAAAAAAAAACCCTCCCCCAACAAAACCATCCCTACTAATTATAAATATCTGCACTCTCGCCCTTCCTTCCAACGGTATGAAAAGAACAATCTTACTATAAAATATGAAAAAAAACCCCACATTTTCTAAAATGTTTGGTTGTGGAATAAGTAAAAACAAAACTAAAATCTAAATGTAACGAATAAAGATTAGACTAGATGCATCAACATACGTGCAAAAAAATTTACAGAGTACTTAATGACCTACACGTGCAAGTATTGTCCACATAATAAATACACCATCCTCCACTTACCAGTTGGTAAGATTTGCAAGTAGGTTACAGTATCCACAAACAAGCTAAACATCACTACCATTAAAACAGCTCTAGACCTCCGTGAGTATATACTCCATCTGCAAGATGTACAGTCACAATTTAATCTCAATGTTGCGAAGCCCAAGCAGATGTGCATAACAATAAGTGTCCCTTATCTCTTCAAAAACCATTCTGCAAATGTCATTTCTTCCCTTGACACCACCTGCCCTCACACCCGCTTTTGTGGCTCTAGCACACTTTATACAAGTTACACCCCAATCACATGTCAACCAATTTACAATTCCAAAACTAATTTTGTTTTTTCTTCTTACTGATGGAAAAAAAATTGTCAAGAGGAGTAAAAAATTAATCTCAATGTCGCTGAGCCTCTTTTTATGTGAAGTGCAAGCCCACCCACGTACTGGTCCATAACAATGTTTAGTTTTTGATAAATTGGTCCATCCCTCCTCACAGTAAAATGAAATGGTTAACCCGAGCCATAAAAACTAAATTTCCAAGTTGCTTTACCAAAAAGGACTTTAACATAAGTATTTGTCCATCAATACTGCTCTGAGGACACTTTGATCCCTCGACATTTTTTGATTATTTTGCTCCATCCCTCCCCAACATCCCCCCCCCCCCCA